TATTGTTCTTCACCACAATTGATTAGTGGTCGAGGGTCTAGTGTGGCAGGAGGAGGAAAGGAAAAGCTGTTGCACTGACAGAGACAGGAAGTAAGAAAAGTGAAGGAGCTAACCTAGTCACAGCTCGGAGCAGGAGGAGGCGCCGCTAACAGAGAGCGCGGAGGAGAACAAAGAGTGGAGTGAGACTGAAGAGGGGGAGAAGAGACACATTCCAACTAAAATCCAGAAGTCTCCCTAAAGTGAAGTAAAATTAAAGTAGCAGAGAGTAAATAAGGAACAGAATGAAACTGTTTGGTCCATTAAAGTGTTGATCTCTGGAGCTGAGCAGGTTTTTCTAAGCTTCTCACATTGGAGGTTGGCTCAGCTTTTAGTTTGAATTGAACTCCCAGCATCACATTCATAAAAAATAGCTTATAATTTGTGTACACTTTGACATTTAGACACAAAGGTCCTTTGGCTTTACAGACAATTTACCAAACTTTCTCTAACAAAGCACCTAACACGAAAAACAAAAAAAATCAAACCTAAATATAATCTTAAGGTTTATTTTACCACATCAATTGTTTCTGAAATAACCATTTTGTGGCAATATGTAAACTGTAAATGTAAATTCATTTTTTCTGCCTGTCAACACTCGCGCTGCTCCCATTGTCCTTACTGTATGTCAGGATGACAAACTGTCTCACCTGCCCTATTTCAAGTTGACCCATCAGACATCATTATGTGTGGCCCAGCAACCATGAAACTGTCAAAGAATAACTGATGTCATGGAATCGGTGTTACTGAAACTATACATCATCTGATGAGTGTGAGAGACTCAGGCTGAGGCTTTCAAATGAGTTATAACTATGTTTAGGTCTAGGGTTGATTAATTGGCTTGAGTCAAAGATCACTGCCACACCTCCACCTCGGCCTGTGTTTCGAGGGATGTGACAGTTACTGTGACCAGGTGGGGTGGATTCATTTAGACTGACATATTCTTCCTGCTGTAACCAGGTTTCAGTAAGACACAATTAATCAAAGTGATGTTCACTTATCAAATCATTTATTAGTCCACATTTGATTGTCCTGTTATTTTCTTCTATAAGAGGAGTGGATTTAATTTTAACTAGGGTGTTATGAATAACTCCTCTTGATTTGATTTTTGATTTATATAATTTAGGTGGTCGGGGGGCAGACGCAGTCTCTTTGGGGTACTGGGAGTTTTGGGTGGGAAGCAGCTGCAAAGAGAGGCGTGTAAGACTGTGACCCTGCATCCTGGACTCAACTCTGGGTTGTCATAATTTAGGTTGTAAAATAAACTCGTCCAGATTTCTAGATGAGAGCCGCACCACCCAAAGTGAGATGGATGCCGTCTGTGCAAATCAGACCAGGGTTTCCCCAAAATGTTTTCCAGTTGTCTATGAAGCCCACGTTATAAATGGCATGAATTACAGATCAATGTCAGAAGCTTTGCACATTTACACTTGCTGTATTTCCACATCTCTTGAAGAGTACAGAAGCTTTTGGCTGTTGCATGTAATCATTTAATTTTATTTAAGTTTCACTAACCACCTTGTGATTTTTAGGAGGAAAACCCACTCAAAATCCCCGTGACGTTTCGTTCATCACAGTATGGGAAATTAAAAAGACAGGTACAGAAACCAGTGTTTCCCACAGAATTAGATTTTACTTGTGGCAGTAACTGACCAGGGTGCACGATAATGACAGCCTTTTATAATTTTTGTTTAATTTATAAAATACAGTGGGGCAAATAAGTATTTGATACACTGCCAATTTTTCAGGTTTTCCCACTTACAGAGAATGGACAGTTCTGCAATTTTCATCGTAGGTACACCTCAACTGTGAGAGACAGAATCTACTAAAAAGATCCAGAAAATCACACTGTTAGATTTTTAAATAATTAATTTCTATTTTATTGCATGAAATAAGTATTTGATCACCTACCAACCAGCAAGAATTCTGGCTCTCACAGACCTGTTAGTTTGTCTTTAAGAAGCCCTCCTATCCTCCACTCATTGCCTGTATTAATTGCACCTGTTTGAACTCGTTACCTGTATAAAAGACACCTGTCCACACACTCAATCTATCAAACTCCAACTTCTCCACTATGGGCAAGACAAAGAGCTGTCTAAGGACACTAGGGACAAAATTGTAAACCTGCACAAGGCTGGGATGGGCTACAGGACAATAGGCAAACAGCTTGGTGAGAAGGCAACAACTGTTGGCGCAATTATTAGAAGGTGTACCTACAATGAAAATTACAGATCTGTCCGTTCTTTGTAAGTGGAAAAACTTGAAAACTCAGCGGTGTATCAAATACTTATTTGCCCCACTGTACATGAATATTGTATTTTTGTAGCTATTGTCCCGTCACGTAGCATCTGCACTAGTTGGCTCTCCCACCGCAGCATATTGCCTGCTGTCCCCCTTTCCTACATCTCTTTTTCTCTGACTTGATCCTCTCTGGCTGGTGAAGCCTGGACATATTTGAAACAAATGAACTGCCACACTGGTCAGACCAATTCAGCTGTCCCACATGTGTTTTCTAATGTTTCTAACGCTAACTTTGGTCCAGAATGTCTGCGCCTCCTCAGCACGAGTCCTTTGGGTCTACGAAAAATGTTTTTCGATATTCCTCTTGACTGAGGGACCCAACAGCCTGTGTTGGAGTTTAAGAATGAGTGAAACAATCCACTGTGTACAGATGAAATAGCAAGGGGAAATTGTTCTGTAGTTTATCAATCGCGGATTATGTAGTTCTCTCTGACATAAAAAGTATTATATTAAATACAGGTGGTGAAATGATATTTGGGCAGCTGTTAAGATACCTGGGCTGCCTGCCCAAGTAAAGTCAATGTGTGGGAAACCCTGGAAACATCTTTGTTCTCTGTCATATGAATTATTCTGGGTTATTGTTGAGACTCACAGAACCTCCCCTTTTAACAGGTTTCCTGGACTGCAATTGCAGGTTGTAATAGAGCAAGTAGGTCGCAGCATAAAAATGGGTCGCTGCGGTTTGATCGCAACTACACAGCCATGGTGAAAAGGCAAATGGCCAGGTAAGCAGGCACCAACAAGGTTTGTGGTATTTTAGGCTTAGGCCCTGATCAAACTGTGCATTTTCCAGGCTACAAAAAATGAAGCGCTCCAAGCTGCCATTTTTAAGCCTACGGTTTAATAAAAAGAGCAACTTGCAGCATTTTTATTTTTTAATAAATTATTTTTGGGGCACCTTTAATTATTATTTAAGTGGGTCGCGGAGAGGTGGGCAGGAAACGGCAGACAGAGGAGAGGACCTGTGACAAAGGTTGGCAGCTGGACTCAAACTGCTGATGTCACAGACACTGTGCTTGGATATATGATGCGCTGCACCATAGCCTTTCGGCTATTGGTCTTTTTTTATTGTTACTAGGCAACCATGAAGCTACTGTACTACATGTATAAACATTCATCGTTTATCTAACAAAAGAAATGTATATTATTTTACTTTTTATCTAAGCATAAAAAATGGACAGGTGAAGGGCAGTTGTTCTGGCTCTGATTGATCTGATGGATCTGTGTGGGTATGAGAGATCCTCGGAAAGAGGAGAGCTCATGGCTGTTACCACTGGCTGGTCCAGGAGCTTAGAAGCTTATGTTAGGATGAGTTGGGACAGTTTGACTGTTAATCATTGTGACTTGCATCACCTAAATGACAGACTCCCTGTAGCTGGCTATCACTGCCACTGAGCATTTGATTGCAGGAGGTCAACAATATGTTTTGGGTCTCCACCACAGAAGGCTCACCTCTTAATTCATCTGATTAGAAAATAGACAACAAATGCTGATGATGTCAGGTAATCTTCTGCTCTGAGCTGAAGCCTCCTGCTCCCTAAAAAATGCTTTGTCTGATCGTGGCCTCAGTCTTAGTTTTGTTGTCTGCATCAGACTGGGCTGTGGGTTGAATCAGTTGTTTTTCCTGTGATGTTCACTGCACTTTCTGAAACTTTCACAAGATGGAGCACTCGCCCTGACTATTATGTTAGGGGAGTTTATACAGTCTGTTCTTTTTCCACAGTACCATAAGAGAAATGATGCATTTCTGATGCAGCTGAACATCTAAAGGAATATAGACTATAGTAATATAGATCCCAATAGATCATTCTCAGTGTATATATTGGCCAAATAAATTAATAGAATCTGTTAACTAAAAAACATATTGAAATATCCCTGTCCACAGTCCAAAAACATGCACATGTTAACAAATAAAAACAGAAGCCTATGTGATCATCCTCTTAATACTGTGATGACTTGTGTGCATGAATGCATGTTATGTTAAAACTACTGGTGCTCTTTTATTTCATTTTATTAGGTATAACTGTAATTGATGAAAAGTACCTTTTACTTGAAAAATATTTCCTGTCTTAATGCTTGGGGGAAAATCAAATCAGATTTTATTTGTATAGCTTACCATCACACATATTTGCCTCAAGGGGTTTTGCAATCATACATACAGTGTACATACAGTAACGTTATATATTTACAGAATGGGCAATAACGATGACAAAATTGCATACTGTCAATACTGCTTGCAAGCAGCATGTTTCAAGTTGAAGCTTATCATGGCTGCACACATGACTTATCTACAGCAGTTGGCTTGTCCCTGTTGAGCAGCTGATGTACATAAAGTCTGAGCTACAATGGTGGATGAGTTATAAGTCACTAAACCTTGATGGCACATCATGTTGCAGAGAAGACGCTCCACCAGGAAGGTTGTGAATGATTCACTCTCTGTTTTGTCCCATAGTAGGACACCCTGTCTGGTCCTGAGGGATGTCCTGAAGACAGAGGTGGGAAAGACCTACATAGAAAAGATGAAAAACAGAATTAACTCTGAAAATAGAGGATGTGTGACAAGTAGACGGAGAGCGAGTGGTCAGTGCAGAAGGGAACCTCTGGTCTGGAGAGAAACGAGGTCCAGTCAAAGGGAGGCCAAAGGTGATAAAACCAAGAGTGAAACCCCTAAACAGAACCAGAAGGTCACCACCTCACCCGTTCAAAGGTAGGAAGATGAGACACCATTATCTAGTCACTGCCAGCAGGCAGGCAGAAAACGGCCTCTACTTGCATGAAAAGCTTGTTGTACACTGGTATTTACTCAGCGAAAAGATTAAACTTCAGAGTCAGGATTTTTTTGTTTGTTTTTGGTGTATTAGTTACAAATAGCCACAAAACATTAGGAGGTGCTCTTTTTTGGGGTACTTTTCTCTGACTTTGTTTAGTTTAAGGAGAAATTACCTTTTAATGACGGCTAGCAGCATCCTTGGCTCTCTGGATTTTCCAGGTGGCAAACTTTTTGATTTTATTTGGAAAAATTGGCGCAAAGATTTCACAATTCAAGATTCTGGTTCACATATGTGTTTCTGGATTTATTTTTCATGTGTTTAGACTTGGATATTTTGTAATTAAGTCCAGTTTTAGTATATAAAGTTCCTGAGGCTAAAGTTTGATTGGAGCTTTGCTGAAAATGAGAACAATATGTAGAGCATAATCAGAACATGGCGTTATTTCTTTCAGGTCAAAGCTCAGGAGAAAGTTACTAAACGCTGATGGTGATGATGAAGACAACAAAGAAGAAAAAGATATCGAGGAGGTGATAATAGGGAAGGACAGCCAAGCAGACTGCATATTCACTGAGGTTGTAGGTAGGCAAACACATGAAGATTTCACATGGTTATTGATGTGATGCTGCTCTCTACCTCCATTGTATTTCACCAAGTTGTTCTGGTGGTGTTGATTTTTGTCTTGAATCAATCATTTGTCTTATTCCCTGGAAAGCATCACCCTTCAGGTTTTCCCACTTTCCCCTGACTTTGCTGAAGGATTTCTCTCAGATACCATTTAATTCAGCTTTCTCCCTGTTGGAGAGGTTTCACACTCCTGGCCTTGATTTTAGACAGAACACATTACACACATTAAAGCTGTATGAACGAAAACATGACACAGTGGTGAAATAGTTGGCACTGTAACCTCACAGTAAAAAGGCTCTGGGGTCCAACCTGCCAGCTGGTCATATGTCATGTTCCCCCTGTCACCACAGTAGGTGAACTGGTGACACTAACTGAGGTAGATGTGAGTGCTTGTCCATGCCTCTGTGTGAGTCCTGTGACAGACTGGTGATCTGTTCTGCTTTGAGGACAGGAAATATTCTTAGTGTATATAGTATACGTTTGTTTTAGGATGATGGTTTGATTGGTGTTGCCTCCATATAGATTGCGGGTTGTCAGTGAGCTGGAAGCCTGCTGAGGTTACGAGAGGCTGTGATGAGTTGTCCTCAGCCAGCATCGAGGATGGGCCCGATGATGCAGGAGAAGAAGTGCAGCACAATTTGGTGAGTACCACACAGCACCATAGACAAAGCTTTGAAAGTCAAAATCTTACCAAGGAAAACTAACTTTAACCAAACTAACCTGTTCCCACAGAAGGCACAAAACAATAGTATAGACATGCACCTCGTTATGAGAACGTGGTGGCCAATTGTTATGTTAGCCTCATGTTTTGAATTAGCCCTTGAGTCACATTTCTATAAAAGTCCTGATCTTATTTGGTGGTACATAGTAGCGTTTCCATAACACTCCAACACCCTGAAATGAATGCCATCACATGGATGTAAAGACCGCAGCATTTTTAATTTTCATCCATGCCAAATTAATGGATAGAAATTAGAGATGTCCCGATCTAATAGTAAGTATCTGTTTTGGCACCACTCCGAGCTTTTTTGACAGGATCCATATCAGCCAAAATAAAGCTGATCTGATTCCAATCCATTTATAGAACTGCAGTCCTGTATTTGAGTGATCTCAGTTGCATTTTTGAGATGATGGTCACACAGCTGATAAGCTGTTATACTATTCTATCCAGCTGTCTCTATACTATTGGCCTGCCTGCTGGCATATCACTCCTGGTTTAGACCCGTAGCCACAACCTGAAGCCTATTTTTAGCTAAGTCTGTTTTTTTTGGAGCTACATACATAAAGTGCTAAATAATGAAAGCTCACTAATTCCAACCAGATCAATACCAAAACCCAGAAATGCCATCCATCCATCCATTTTCTTCCGCTTATCCGGGGCCGGGTCGCGGGGGCAGCAGTCTAAGCAAAGATGCCCAGACCTCCCTCTCTCCAGACACTTCCTCCAGCTCCTCCGGGGGAATGCCGCGGCGTTCCCAGGCCAGCCGAGAGACATAGTCCCTCCAGCGTGTCCTGGGTCTTCCCCGGGGCCTCCTCCCGGTGGGACATGCCTGGAACACCTCCCTAGGGAGGCGCCCAGGAGGCATCCGAAACAGATGCCCGAGCCACCTCAGCTGGCTCCTCTCGATGTGGAGGAGCAGCGGTTCTACTCTGAGCTCCTCCCGGGTGACCGAGCTCCTCACCCTATCTCTAAGGGTGCGCCCGGCCGCCCTGCGGAGAAAGCTCATTTCGGCCGCCTGTATCCGGGATCTTGCCCTTTCGGTCATGACCCAAAGTGCATGACCATAGGTGAGAGTCGGAATGTAGATTGACCAGTAAATCGAGAGCTTCGCCTCCACTTCCTTCACTTGAAGCAGGAACTCTCCACCAACCTGAAGGGAACAATCCACCCTTTTCCGACTGAGAACCATGGCCTCGGATTTGGAGGTGCTGATTCTCATCCCAGCCGCTTCACACTCGGCT